GTTAAATATTCAAAAGATCCCCAGTTCAAATTCACTAACGTCAGATCTGTAATACTGCTGATTATATATATTGTTGGTGGAGTCTGTAATTATAAACGTCATTCGGAAAGAGATTTAATGATCGTCTAAGGTTATATTCTCAACGAAAAAGTTATGACGATATTCAAAAATAGCATCCTTTCAAACGATTGAGTGATATCTTCTTCTACACTTCAAACCTTTGTGGTTTTGATTTGTTTATGGCGAAACTTTTGTGAATAATCACAAATGTTCAGTTCTATTCAATGGCTTACTTTCTTGTAGCATTTTTCCTTGTGCTTCATGAAATACCTCGTAACGAATTTGTGTGCAATCCCGGAAGCATTTCTTTGAGCATTGCTCGTCTGTTATGTGAATGTTTTCGACACTGAAAGACATTTCGAGATTGCTCTTGCAAATGTGTGTATTGTTAGATGTGTGAACAGGATTGTTGGGTTCGTATGGAATGATTGGACATTAGTAATGGAAATTACTATTGGCTGGAAAGGACAATTGAATAGGAACTGATTGGTGCATGTTGAGACTCGTCATAATTAGGAGCCGTCGCTTGGGTGCATCTGCTTACAGACTCTGGCGAAAATTGTTTGTCCGTCAAAACATCGTTTTTGTTAAACAGCAAAATTATCCCGTAGATTTCTGCTTTTCCCGAACAAATTCTTCAGTTCCGCGAATAAATCCATCCCTTTTCCTCCAAAAACTTACAAAAATAGTTCCTCATCCTCTTTTGATTGTTCCTCATCACGCAAATGCAGCATTCGATTTAGAGCAGTTATTTACACGAATAGCAACTAACTCAATATCGCATTTTTCGTAGTCACACAACGGATACTTCTGGAGTTCTTTCTCATCCTCTTTTGCCAAATAACTCAACGTTAAGCCGGTGCATTTGCAGAGCTGCTGAAATTTTACGAAGCCAATATCGAAAATATTCTCGAAATTTGAAAACATTATTGTTGCACATTTTTGCTCTGATCATATTTCGAGACATTTCGTTGTTTTTTTCTCGTTAGAATGATTGATTGTTATTGCGTTCGGAAGTGAGAAGCAGTGAAACTTTTTTTGATGACAACTGAAAGTAAGCGAAACAAATGAAAATGAATCTGCATTATGATGGAATATTCAAGTATAAGCGGAATAATAAAATTGGACAAATGCATCGATGAGCTGCCACCAGATTGATGTGGAAGAATGAAACAGAAGTGGAATTTAAGCAGACCTGAATGAATTTCATTCGACATCGAGATCTGCAATCGAATTCGGTATCACTTCCCTCTTCGACATCTCGGCATGCCGTTCCGTTGTCGTCATTTTCTAACATTTCATATTTTGCTTTCACTTCTACAGTCACCTCATGTCGCAGTCCAGCACATAACTGAATAATTAAACACATAGCTGAAAGTTTTTCCTCCTGGCTTGCGAGCAATGAAATGACCAAAGGAGGTGAATAAACAAACAATCATCGTCATCACTAACATCGTCATTGTATCCGTCCCTGGCTCGACCTTTTGCTTGCATGAATCTGGCCAGCGAGCTGGGTCGTCCATGAAAGTCCACTGACATGCACTCGACATCCACACCGTTCAGATTTTCGACATCGTGTGCCAGCATCATTGTGAAGAAATTACCCTTAACAAGAAAATGATAATGAATATTGCCATAAAATGTAATGTCGATTCATTTTCACTATATGAGTTTTTGTTCTTCAAGTTGCCATTTTGATTTCCTCCGAATTCGTTGGATGCGGCGAATTAATAGTAGGCGATAATGATGTATCAGATTCATTTCAACTCAGAAATACATCTTTCGGATGTTTTGAACTGACTTGGTCTTCGATGCTTTGAAAGTTGTCTTCGTCGAACCACGGTTGAAAGCAG